ACGACGCAGCTTCAACTTAGCAAACAATCAGGTATTTTAAAGAAGCGAAAAAGACCTTTTGGAAGAAAGTTGCTTCCAAAATGGAAGTGGTTAAGAGAAGTTACAAACTTAAAGAGTAATGAAAGTCGTTTTAGGAATTGACGTTTGATTCCTGTGCACAGGTCTGCTAGTGTCAATCTAAATTTAAAACCCGGTAGAGTTTTGAATTTAAAATTGGCACAGTCCCATTCACAGTAAATGGATCAATGACTCTATTGGCACATTATTTTTCTTTGCATTTTTTCTTGTGTACAAATCAGGCTTTGATTTTAGATTTGTTTTGGGTTCAAACCTGTCAGCAACACTAGAATTTACACCTTAAAACTAGAGAAATACATGTTCTACTTTGCCCAGCCACACAGTCATCTGCATTTATTTCATTTCATCACAAACAGAGCAGTGCATGTTCACACAGGAAGAGGGTGGACTCCTAAAAAGGGGTGACGTGCACCTTTAATGGGCACCAGTCAATATTTATTAGGCTGTGGCTGGTTTGTGAGAAAACTGGAGCTAATTATTCATGACCTGAGCCAGCAGACAAGATAAAGAGACGAAATGTGGACTATTTAAATTTAAACAAAACAAGTCTTACATAGCATATAGACTTATATACATACATAAATGAGCCACTGCTGTTTTCTCCTTTAGTTTGTAACACTGTGCACTAAAAACTTTAAAACCTTTCTATATTAAAGCTGACACAACTTGTATTCACAGCTGTTTTCATTAGTAAAATAATCTCGTTGTTTTGGCGGGCCGGGTGGAAAACAAACTAAAAATGAGACACAATAAATAGGCACATTAATTCAAGCTACTTAGCAACATTTAGCGTAAAAGTTAGTGAACATACAGGAAAGGAGACTGACCAGTCGAACAAGATTCTTGACACAACGAGACTAAAATCAAAGACTGACCTTAAATCACTCGATCATTTCCACTGGCAGGCGGTTGTGTTACGTGAGGAGCTCCAAAACCTGCTGTCTTCAATCTCTAAGTCTCACAGTCAACTGAGATTCAACGGTTTCTGTCGCACACACACACACACACACACACACACACACACACACACACACACACACACACACACACACACACTCTGACACGTTGGTCAGTCAAACTCAAACTTTCGGTTGGACTTCCTGTTTACAAAATTCCAAAATAAAAGCATGCCCCCCCCCCAATCCTTTACAGTTCAGAGAGCTGCGTACTGGCGCCATCTACTGTGTACTTGGAGTACTGCGAATGTAAAGGCATCTAAAAAATATATACATTTATGCAAATTACTGCAGCTAACTTTATTATAATACAGATAGAAAAGCAAATATTATACACATAAAAATGTACTTCCAATTGCTTATCTTTAAAATACACAAATAGGACATGAAGCAGCTGGTTTTTTTTAACCAGTCAGTTGAGAACCAGTTCTTACTTACAATGACGACCAGGGCAAGAGGCAGCAACTGTTTACAATCATTTATTGTTGGGCTGTTTTCAAAAGAATATTCTGAATTATTTAATTTTTATATAAAATAATATTACATTTTATTTTAAGCCATGTTCATGTGGGAGAGAGCCCTGCTTCTATCTCCATGACGGCACTCACAAGTTTTCATCTTTTACTCCCTCACAATAAATATGCTTTAAAAAAAAAACTTTAAATAAAAAATTTAAACATTTTTTTAAGAAATGTTGATCTCAAGCAGAATCAACTCTAAAGTGCAATTGATTTTGTGATTAATAAACATGAATGAAGACTAAAATGAATACATAACCCATCAAGGAACATACAATAAAATAGAAATATACATACATATAAATGCAGCCATACACATAACAATTGCTCTCTCATGTACACACAAGAATAAAGACAGAAACACATGCTCTACACACACACACACACACATAGTTCTAGGAAATGTGAATCCAGATGCAGATTAGAAACAGGGATTATAAAACTGTGGCTGGATGCAGATTAAGGTAGACTACAGAGAGCGTTAGAGACAGAGGTAGACCTGTTATGACCTGTATATTCCTATATACTACATATTTTTTGTAAATATAGAAAGGTGACCTGTCTTTTATGCTTATGTTGTCTGATGTGCTGCACATGGTATCTGTTCTGTATCTGAGGTGTGATTATGTGAAATTAAATAAATACCGTATTCAGTCCTAATCTAACCAAACACCTTCCTTTGAATGTGTTAATTATTTCTTACAGATCCATTATATGGTGTTCCAAAATGACTGATATTAACTTGTTTTATTATTTCCTGTAGTGTACTAACTGGTTTTATTTAACTACTTCCTTATTTTTGCCATAATATTTTATTAATATTTGAGTAGGACTGTTAGAGGTTTTGTTCACTGCTGTATTGGTTTTACTATGAGTGGCTCAGCAGGAACTGGAGGTCTATAGATAAAGTACAAAGGTCAACGAAACACACCTTTTTTTAAAAATTCTGTCTAATCTATGACACCTGGTCAGTCCAGAGAGAAAGAGATGACTGAATCATCTGAGAGAGAGTTTAAAAGATGGTTTAAACTTAAAATTTGCAATGTATTTTCATTTAAAATTAATTTACATTGTAACTGATTCAGTAGCAACAAGTTGTCAATATCTAATCCTGGGTTGGCATCACAGTTGAGTTCAGTTAAAGTAATTTGAAGGTGCTTAATTTACATAAATAAATAAAAGAAAATAAAGACAACATTAAGTGGTCAAAATGTTTGTGCAATTAAAAAAATCTTCCATTTTTAAGTTGTGTTTTGACATGTTAACCTATAGAAGGAACTAACCTGCTGAATTAAACACTATTTTCCACTTTATTGTCCACTGTCACATATTTAATAAGGCCACTTCAAAACTTGGTTTAAGATGACTACATTAAACCCATTAATCCTTATCTATTTTATTTATTAATTTCTATTTCTAGAATGTATCCATGTAGATCTTGTGAGCTGTGATCATAAAAAGATTAGTATACAACAATATTGCCCATACACTTTTAAATGTCTATGACAATATAGGGGACGAGAAGCGGGTCAGCCGTGATCGTATAGTGGTTAGTACTCTGCGTTGTGGCCGCAGCAACCCCGGTTCGAATCCGGGTCACGGCAATCCGTCCTCTGACTCTCTATACAGAGAACATTTTAAAGGAGAGACGATCACACTGATTGATAAGATCTTGGTATAAACGCGTATTTTGATCAAATTCAACATAGAGGCTTCACCGAAACAACAGATTTTGGATTTTGTTGTAGTTGATAGATTGAGTTGATTATCCAGAAAGAAATAAGACATAAAAAAACCAAATAAATTAATATTTTAGAAATATTATTAACCATTAGGGTTCAACCATCAGGAACCATAAAAATCGCCAAATTGCTAAATATGTAGAGATCCATACCCTTGGGGCTTTATGTAAACCTGTGACAGTATATATACTGATATATACATTGGTAGAATTAGATGTAAACCCAAATATACTGCAATAACAATAGTGACCACCAGATGTCGTCTTTGGACCTGTGCACAGAGGGGAGAAGCACATGTTTTAGTCTTATTAAAGGAGTAAAGTGCAGAAATGTACTTAAAGAAAGACACAGGATCACTCCATATCAGTTGGTTGAATGTAATCATTTACTGAAGTAAAAGTAACAGAATTAAAATACTATATTATACATAAAATACTGTATTGTAAAATACAAATAAAAGTCGTGCATTCATAATTTCACACAAGGAAAAATACAGACAATTTGGCAACAAAATGTACTTAAAGTATCAAAAGTAAATACTCAATGTAGATTATTGGCTCATTATTACTGTAGAAACAGCAGTGGTGGCCTCCATGGTAGGCGACTGTAGATATAAAAGGCAACAAAAACATAACAATTCTTATTTTCAGGTGATTATACACCAATGAAAACACAGTTATGCATATTATACTCCATTAATGCCAATAGATCCTATTAAATGTTACACGCTGGACCTTTAAATATAGTGAAATAAAGTTGCATACAGTAGAAAGTACAAGTAAACTACCTCAAGTACAATACAGTACTTGAGTAAATGTACTTAGTTACAGTTAAAATGTATCTATATCTCTTTACTGTATTGCTGCTCTTACTTTAAAGCTAAAAAAAAAAAAAATCACTTTTTATTATATTTGCTGAAACAACCGGGAAAGAAAACAACCAATCAGAGCCAAGGAAGATAATTGATTCCCAGGTCTTCAAATATTGATACTTGGGAATGAGACTCAACAATCAGCTGACCTTTGAGCCACCAGATCAAAACATCTCTCCATCATTCTCTGCTCTGATTGGCTGTTGTTGTTCGGGCCTGGCACATTCTTGCAAACACCATTAGGAAGCACTAAGAAAAGCCAGAGGAAGCTGATTTTTTCACAGATTATCTCTCTCGTGTGCTGCTGTCAGAATATAGTGAAAGTTTCAGCAAATATGACAAAAAGTTATTTTCTATAAAAGTCACCTACTGCAGCTTTAAAAAAAATAGTTGTTAAATCAACTCAACTCAACTAACTTACTACTACCTGAGAGGATACTACTCACTCTTACTATAATTCCCTAATAATGACAAATGTGAAGTATCTACACATTTATTCATTCATTCATGGGTTTGCTGTTTACTGAGCCTGCGGCAACGTTTTTCTCTCTCTCTCTCTCTCTCTCTCTCTCTCTGTGTGTGTGTGTGTGTGTGTGTGTCGCTCCCTGCAGCAGCCATATTGGAATGCTGGATGTGGAGAGGGGAAGCAGGAACAGGCTAGAGAGGGAGAGGGAGAGAGAGAGGTGGGGGGAGAGAGAGAGAGAGAGAGAGAGAGAGAAAACAGTGACTGTAAACTACTCGTGGCTCTACAACTGAAAATAACGGATTATTTACCGCCGTATACCCCCGGTAAAGTCAACACTAACCGCTCGGACGTCCCCTGGAACCGGTCAACGTGAGTGCTGTTTTTTGTTTTTCGGGGGGTTAAAGAAGAGCTAAAAGAAAGAAAGAAAAAAAAAAGTATGGGATGCGGTTTGGTTTTCAACGTTCGTCCTGGCTGCTCGGCGTTGGCTGTTTCCTCTCCCAGTTTTTCCCCTTTTTGAACCGCTGTCATATGTAACTCACTCAGTTGTGATTGGGGGGGGATTGACTGATAGATTATAGTCGCTTTACAGCGCCGTGAGTAGGGTCGTACTTTTACTTTTACCCCCTTCTTCTTTCCCTTTTTGTTGTAAGTTGGAAGCGGTTGAAAAAGAAGAGCGACCTAACTGCCACCAAACTCGTCGCCACACAGTCACATGGAGTGAATGTGGAGTTAACTTTAACCTACGGTAGATAAAATACACCGGATTAACCCACATTTAGCTCCTAATCTCTGTCTCAAGTAGGTTTTTTTTGTTTTAACTGTGTCGTGGGTTCAAGGCTGTTTGGTTACCTTGATCTTCCTCCCCAGCTACAGCTGAATTTACTTAACTCTTCCTTTCTATCTTAATGGACTAACGTTAGTTAAGTTTCATTTTTTTCGTACAGCTACTACTTTCATAAACCACTTGGCCCAGTTATTTAGGGTTATTGGCTGATATAATATAACTGTGTTAATTAGTTAGGTTTATCCCTCCCTGCTCCCTCTCATTTTGTTGCTATAAATAGGCTAATATAGCAGATCAGGTGCCTGCAGGTCAGTTATGGAGAGATATTTGACCACAATTATAATCTTAATAAGTGGTTAGTGCATCAGCAACAAATTATTCAAACAATTGACAATCAATTAATAGTTTCAGTTGTTAAATCAAGCTAAATGCCATTGTCATATGTGACAAATTTGCAGCTTTTGTCAGTTTTTTAAAATATTATTTTGTATTGAATAGCTTTAGATTTTGTGGTGTTGGGCAGAGAAATCAAGACTTTTCTCAGAAAAGATACCATTTTACACATTTTATACAGTAAGCAATTAATCCACCAATCAGATCCATGGAAAACTCTTGCTTTGATCCCAGGCCAGAACAACCTGAGATTATTGGTGCAGTGGCACCTTAAAGTTCCCTCAAACTCATTTAAAAACAGGTATTTCTTTACATAATGAAATATACTGCAACGAGACACTCAAAAGTTTAATGTCACTAAATCCAAGTGAACTGTCTCAGAAACATGCTGCCCTGTGATGTGTGTGAAAGGTTGCTGGAGCCTGATTTGCTTCTACTTCATATTCCAGATGCAAGAAAATGCTAATGAATTGCAGTATCCTGAGGCCACTGAGGCTTCAGACCTACAGTATACTAATAGGAGTGCAGCTCTGCACACTTATATTTGCAGTTCTGGGAACAAGCCAAACCTCTGTATACTGATAAAAAGGGGGTTTGGTTTTGGATTTACCTGGATATCACAGTCACAGTTTGGTACACTGTAGATACAATACAAATATTATGTGTTAATTCTCACGTTGCAGTTATTAATGTTTAGATATTCTAAATACATATGGGCTGTCGTTTACTGAAACAAGCAACGTTAGGTGCTTGCGATGGTGTGACGATAAAATCTTGGCGTCTGAATAATACATGGAGAGATGCAAGTCTGTGCCAGGATGAGGTTCACTTCCGGTACTAATAGGCTATCAATATCAATAAGCTTCTTGTCAAATGATACTGCTGTTGGTATTTATGTAACGTTACATAAACAGCTGACAGGGCAAAACGTTCTAAAGGTTACTAAATTGAATGAAAATGCACTTAAATGCAATAACTCAGGAACAATTTAACTTCCAAAATTCCTGCAAAGAGTAATAATAAGACAATAATATGTCATGGGTTATTTTTTGTATCAAATTATGGCCAGTAGTCTCAATAATAAGTAATAGTATCAATAAGCAGTATCAGTATCAGTAAAACCCTAATGATACCCATCCCTGACTAATGTAGTGTTTCGTATATATTGCCAGATCACAACACTGAGCACACGCTGTAAAGCGAAATCTTCTCAGCCAGCTACTAATTTAAATGTAGTTGATTGGAGATGACATTCACAAAGATCTTTACAGGCTTGAGATTGTATCTCTGAATTAGCAAACACAGCTCACACTGTTAATTAGCTCATCCACTTGATGAGGTTGTATTTAGTTCCACCGTAGCTGCATTCATTCAGCTCACTTACCGTGACCAAGAGCTACACCACACGCAGAGCCGCTGTTTTTCCCCCAGCGGTGTTTGATGGTAAATTTGTGTCGATTAGGTTGGTCGATTACATTGAAATTCATCCCATCCATGTTTGTTTGAACTACAGCCTCAGTCTACTAATTTGGCTTCACAGGGCCAAAATGAATGCAGTGTACTCCATTATCTCGAGCAGAAACGTGTCGTTAACTTCAGTGTTTGAAACGAGCAGAGGCTAACGTTGTTTAGCTTCAATTTGTAACATACATGATGTGGCTATGGGAAAGTCCTTTTATAGGGACCCTCTACTTTAGTTTTTATTTTTACATTACTGTAGAAAAGTGAATGTAGGTGTTTGTGATATATGTCAGTAAGTTGGTAGGAAGAAATGAATGGGCTTCATAGAGAGTAGAGGTAATAGCTACACCTTTCTGACACGACTCTCCCTGTGGCTGGCCTACAGCAGGCTAATACAGGCGTGGCAGTGGTGTGTGTGTGTGTGTGTGCGCTTGTGTTTCCGTGTGTGTGTATGTGTGTAAATTGCAGAGCAGTGCAGGAGGCCTGTATTTATAGAAACACTTGACTACACTCAGAGGTCTTACAGAGCAGTTCAGTACGTTGCAGAGAACTACTGTTTCTATTCAGTTTCCTCTTTCTTTTCCTGCAAGGTTGTTCTGGGTTTTGGTCCATTTTTTAAAAACTTTTCTTTTCAGTGATCTGCTATATGTTCGACTCAGGTTTGTTCTATTTTAGAGAAAGACAAGAGGGTAACAGTCTAGTGTCAGTAGGTTGCTGTATGTGGTGTGACTCGTAAGGACTCTAACTAGTTATAGCAATCACTGGGAACACACTCTGTGTGTGTGGAGGTATGTAGAGGTCCTGAAATATGTGTGTCATGAGGAATTCATGATAGGAAATTAAGTAATTGGCCTGGGGCAGAAAAGAACGACTCTCGAAGTTTGAGCGTTTTTTTTTTTTTTTTGCTGTTTTCCTTGCAAATATGGTGGCAGTTTTTTTTTTCAGTGATTGGACGCTTCATACCTACTGAGTAAATAGCTGCAGCTGTGTGGAGGTCTAAGCTGTTTTCTCCCATCATGCACAGCTGAATGAATGCTATTTGCAAACTCACCTCAGGAAGGAAAAGAAACATGAATGAACAGTTGAACTGTGCAAATGGTGTTCTCCGTTTTGCACCAGTAAATTCATTTGGAAGTATGACTAACTTTGTTTGTGTGTGTGCGCAAGTGCGGGAATGTATGTGATTGTATGTGTCCTGATTGTATAAATTCAGCTTCTATCCTCCGTGGGACTTATTCCCCTGCATCCTCCCACATGTGGTTTCAGCTGTAAAGGAAAAGAAGTGTGTTTGTGTGTGTTGTGTGCTTTTGGAAACTGAATGAAGGTCCATTCCCTTTGCTTCTGGATTGGTTGCATTCAGGAAGCAGCCCCCACACCCCTCCACACACACACACACACACACACACACACACAGAGCACTTACTGTACATCCTAAAGCATGCTGCGTCCCCCAGGAGCCGAAAGGAAAACGCCTTCTTCCTCTCAGCAGCAGCAACTCTACTCAGATCTGTTTAGAGTCTTTATGTGTTGGTATGTTGGTGTGTACCTGTGTTTGTGTGTGTGTGTGTGTGTGTGTGTGTGTGTGTTTGTGTGTTTCTCTACTGTGATAATGACAGTGTTTATCCAAGATAACACGAGTAAACAGTTGAAAATATCTTTGCACTCATTATAAGTTGGTTTAGCAATATGTTTGTGCATTCCTGCTGTTGCATTTGTGTGTTTTGCTAATTGAGGTGCAATTTTAAAATTAGACAGTAATACCCGGATGGTGAACACCTGTGTGTATTTGTTATTTCAGCAGAAGTATGACTATACATAGTAAAAGCTAGACTGATATATCCACCAGGCCAATATATATCGGACAATATTAGCTTATTGCAGATATATCTGTATCGGTGTGTATGTCAGCTACTGAGTAACAAGAAATTGAAGAACAGAAAGGCAATTTATTCCCCCTTCTGTTAGAGGTGGGCGATATATATTGTTTGCGATAATATCGTCATTGCTGTTTTGACGATGTGCAAATTTCCATTATCGAGTATTTAAATTACTTCGCCAAAAATATTGAAACGCATGCGGAAACTCCTCACATCCACTTCATACACGGTGCAGCAACGCTCTCTACAGCATGGCAGGATTCAGTCACGCGACTAGTGGGCCTACGTGATCACACGACATGATCACATGACCTCTCGCTAGCGTCCTCCTTGCAGCAGTTTAGCAGCACGTTGTGATGGTAGAGAGAAAATGCTAGCACCTCCAGTCCCTGAAGCTACCGGTACTTGGTACAGATGATTTAGTGCCGAGACGTGGGTCTACCTCTCTGGCATGGAAATGGTTTGGTTTCGAAAATACTTTTTTAGCGCAGCGCCCAGAGCGCTTCAAGTTGAAATCTGTTCAACTTTTAACACCGCTGGGTGCTCGGAAAATGAGTTTTTGAGCGCTCTCAGCGCTAAAAACACGTTTGGTGGACACAAGCCCTAACTCAGACAATTCCCGTCACATTTTAAAGGATATCGACTGATTGTCGTTCTCGCCAAAATCCCCAAAAATAACGAGATATTATTTTTTGCAAATATCGCCCACCCCTACCTTCTATACACTTTCCAGATATGAAGACTCATGTTTTAGTACCTTCATTCATCAACTGTGAGCCGACAGCATCAGAGTTTCACACAGTCAGAGAAATTGAAAGTGTGTGTCCTGGTCATAGTAAAATCCGAGCACACCA